TCAATCTCTCCAATTGCTCCTAGAATAGAAGCCCAAAGAAAACTCTCTCAATCAGCTCAAATTCGTCCTTGCTCTTAACCCTAAAAAACACCCAAAGGGTATTTATACAAACCCAAAACGAATCGGGTCGAAAACCTGAAAGCCCAGCCCAAAACAGCGTCGGTCGACCGGACCGGTCGACCGCGATCAATTCCGGTGCGGTCGACCGCACCGGTCGACCGCCAACCTGTTTGCCTGAAAACCTGATCCTGAGCACCATCTCTTCACTTGGCATCTAGAAGAGCATTCCGACCGATCTGTCATTGCCAGTCACCATGAATCAGTTACAACCGCAGGCCCTACCGTTTCAACTCTCTTAGCTCAACCAACGGCTAAAATGGACGCAGTCATGAAAAAGTTAAGGTGAACAGAATGATTGGGTCTCTAGACCCTTTATGGATTTTTGGGATGACATACCACATTTCGAGAAGTAAAAACCTATAACGGTATAGAGTTTTAATGGCACTAGGTCGTCTCATCAATGCCTTTCTCATTTTGAAGCTCAAGCCGGACTATAGTTGGGAAATGATATCATTATGAGGAGAATGTTCTATAGCTCACCCAAAGGTATATTTTGTTTACTGAATCGCATAAAATTTTAACTAACTCCATATATATATATTTCATACATATGAGCGGAGGCGGAGACAAGATGAAGGAATAACGAACATTTTTTGCACAAGTTCGAATTTGCGATAGATACAAATAGAAGTAAATTGAGAAAATATTCCTAGAAAAAATTTTGTCACTTGTATAGAATATCAAAATTGATCCAATTTCTACCTACTATTATGATATTACGATTCGACGGGGTACAAAGAAATAAATAGGTTCGAGATACTGCCTATCATTAGTTCGAAAGCCCGCTGTCAGGTTCTATAAATTCATAGGACTTGAAAAGGAAGTTCATCAAGATTTCATGAAGTTAACTCTAAAGTACCCAACCAAAGAGTGTAAAATAAAGTTTACAGGTTAAGTGAGAAGATTCAAATCTACATTGAGAGATTCTACTAACTCGGCCTTGCGTTAAAGGCGCAATGTTAAAAAACTTTGTCATTGATGCTTGCTATGACGGCTTACCAGATCACATCCTTAAATAATTGGGTGTCGTTAAGTCCAAACCCTAGAAAGAACTGATCAAGAACACTGAAAGAGCTGAAGCAGCCACCATTCGGCTTAGTGATATCCTAGATAAGATGGACAACGATGGAGGTAAGTGTAAACCTAACGCCACCAAACCATGTAATGACAAGATAGCTATGATAGTGATGGCTTTTGATGGACCGCGGCCACACGTACTAACCTTAATTGCAACCACCAAGATGCAAGCATAATGATGGGAGTGGCAATCAGAATGCAAATAACAACGACCACTCTAGTGCCAACCCTAGCTATAATCAAGTATCTCTGTCTAGGTAGTACTAAGGGGAAAGTTATTAATAGAGGTAGAATTAGTTCAAGCCAGGTCTCGATAGAGTTTACACTTATGTAACAAAGTAGCAATCCCTGAAGCAGGGCCGGCCCTAGCATAAGGCAACTAAGGCCTTTACCTTGGGCCCCAAATTGGATAAGATCCACTCACCCATATATATAATATATATAACTTAGTTACTAAAGCATAAACCTAACCCTATTTAAAAAATGAAGATCTAAAGATAAAAAGTGAAGCTAATAGCTTAGCAACTTATGAGATTGAAAATTTTGAATTCTTATTAGCTATGAATATTTGGTATGACATATTGTTTGCTGTTAATTCAGTTAGTAAAATATTACAATCTAAATATATGCATATTGATATTGCCATAGATAAATTAAAGAGTCTTATTGTATATTTAGAAAATTATAGACAAAATGCTTTTATGTCTGCTTTGAATTCAACTAAAGAACTTGCTAATGAAATGGACGTACAACCTATATTTCGTGAAAAACGTAAAATTCATAGAAAAAAATAATTTAATGAAAATGTTGGTAATGAAACAACATTTAATGTTGAAGAATCTTTTCGTATTGAATATTTCTTATACATAGTTCATAAATCGCTTGGCTCAATTGAAAGTAGGTTTGAACAATTTAAAAAGTATAAAAAAATTTTGGTTTTTTGTTTGATTTGAAAAAATTAAAAACTTTAGATGATATTGAATTGAAAGCATATTGTCTTAATCTCGAAAATGCACTAAAACATGATGAATATTTAGATATTAATGGACTTGATTTGTTTTCAGAATTGAGAGTGCTTAGGAAAATTTTAAAAATAGAGATTAATAGTCCAATTGAAGTATTGAACTATATAAAGTGGTTAGATTCTTTTCCAAATACTTATATTGCTTATCGTGTACTATTGACTATACGCGTAACAGTTACTTCCGCTGAAAGAAGTTTTTCAAAATTAAAATTACTAAATCTTATTTAAGATCGACCATGTTACAAGATAGATTGAATGGTTTAGCAATATCATCTATCGAAAATAATATGTTAGAAAATATTGAATATAAAATTTTAATTAGTAATTTTGCAGCTCAAAAGGTAAGAAGAATGAGATAAAATCTATTATGAGTTGTATCACTTAGGCCTCATCTAATATTTCGCCTTGGACCCTAAAATTTATAGGTACGGCCCTGCCTTGAAGTGATTGAAGCTCTCATCAAGGGAGGATTCATCAAGCTCGAGGGACCCAAGAGACCTGAAGAAGAAGATGCACTAAGGATGCAAATTATTATATTTTCACCATTTCGTAGGACCCTTTAAAGGGCAGCATAGTGTTGAGATAAAATATTTAAAATTTGCATGGATCAGGATCTTTGGAACTAAGGGAAGACTATAAGAAGATTTAGGCGAACATGATCTTGATCCAACTTAGGGATACGATAATTGTGAGCGCTATAGACAGGATAGTGCTGATACTGAAAGTAGAGCTAAAGATTATCAACTACAACTGACACGGTCAATAGGCTAATGGATTAACCCCCATGAGTCTCTCTAATGTGGGTGCACCTGAACCTCATAAAGGACAAGCACTGGACTTTAGCTAAGCTGAACAAGAAATATGCAGAAGGCAAGGCGAAGAGTGTAATGTTGTGATAGTCCTCTATAGTGATGAGGAGGGGCCAGTACCCGAACTCAGTGATCTAGAAGATGAAGCTTGGTGTTCCTAGCACAACCTGCAAATATGATAAGAGTGCATAATAAACTTGCACTAAAGACGTAAGAGAACAACTATCAAGTTATAGTATAAGTAGGGGCAGTTCTGATGGCGTAAGTTAGTGGGCGATCTATGCTTTGCTAACTTACACCACTGCCGAGATTCATGGTGAGGAAGAAGAAGAACAGTGGGAAGAAGATCTTCAGCATTGGTCTTCGTGCTTCTAACTCTAGTTTGCTCTCTCCTGCGGAGCTCTCTGATTTGAGATCTGATGAGAATGATGAAGAGTTCTCTTCGAGTATAATGGGTTCCACTGGTCCAAAGGGTGAAAAAAAGAAGAAGACCATGGCAGAAATTTTTGAATCTTGTGAATCTCAAAGTGAAGCTCAAAAGAATGGAGTTCAGGTGAGAAATCTTAACAATTCCCCTTTCTCTTTAAATGGAGCTGGAAGTTCATCAAGAGTATCTTGGGCTGATGATCTGGATCTAGAGATTTCTTCAATCCCTCTGGATCTAGATCCAAAATCGAATGATGGTTCTGATGTTATGCCTTTGATTTCAAATTTAAACACTGATAGAAATACTGTTCCATTGATTACTGTTAATAATCATGAACATGTTATTAGTGCTGATCCTGATAGATCTAAGGGAATGATAGACGAAGTCTCTGCTTCGACTCAAAAGTCTACTAATAAAAGCTGGGTGAGTTTCTTTGCTGACAACAGGAAAATAGGTAGTGGTCTGGATCTGAGCTTCATTCCATCTTGTTCTAAAGATGTAGTAACTTTTAATGAAGAAGAATGGTTAGAGGGAGCATCTATTTGAGAATTTTCCCTTGTGGGTCAAGTGATGGGGCTGAATGTTAAATATAAAGCTATGGAAAATTTTGTTAGCAAAATTTGGGCACCTTTGGCTATGCCTGATATAAGTCTCCTTAAAGCTGATGTGTTTCTCTTCAAATTCAAGAATAAAGAGGAAATGAATGATATCCTTTTAAATGGTCCATGATTTTTTGGATCAAGACCTATCTTATTGAAACCTTGGTCAGTTGTTGAAGGTTTTGAAAAGATTAATGAGTGTAAATATCCTATGTGGATTCAGTTCCCTGCTTTGAGATTAAATCTTTGGAATACAAAGGGGATTAGTAAGATAGCAAGTGCCATTGGACGTCCTATTGCCACAGATAAACTCACTGCCAACAGGCAGAGATTGGCATATGCTAGGGTTTTAATTGAAGTTGACTTGCCTTCTACACTACCAGACTCTATTTCTATTCAAGGTCCTGATGGTTTACAATATACTCAGAAAGTGATATATGAATTCAAACCAAGATGGTGTGAATATTGTAAGAATGTTGGACATGACACTAAATTTTGTAAAAAACATCCTACAGTACAGATGTGGATTCCAAAACAAAAAGAAGTTGTAAATCAAGCTGGTCAAGGAAATAAAAAGGCTAGTAATACTCTGGAAAATTCAAAAGATTTGAACTCTGGAAATATGGGAAGTGGTGTGATACCTGTTTCAGCTCAAATATCTTCAAAAGATGGCTTGGTACATAACAGTTCCTCTGTGCACGCTGTGCATGTTCAGTCTCCTGTTCCTTTGAGGAATAAAGATAAGGATCCTATTCAGAGTGAAGTGCATGTTATGCATGCCCAATCTCCTGATCCTGTGATTATTAGTGGCAAGGACCCCAATCAAAGACCTTGGATTCAAGTTCAAGGGAGTAAAAGCAAAGGACCAGCAAATATTTTTCCCCTCTTTTGAACTTGAATAGTGAATTGGATCCCTCTAATATAGACATAGGGGGTCTCCCAAGATGAACCTTCCCTTTTGGAATGTTAGGGGATTAAATAAATCCCCTAAACAACATCTAGTTAAGCAGCACATTCATCAATATCATATATCTTTTGTTGCTCTACTGGAAACCAAAATTAAGGAAGGGAAACTGCCTGAGATTGTTAAAAGAATTGCAGCCAACTGGAGATGGTTCTCAAATGCAAACAGTACAGGCACTGCTAGGATTTTGATGCTATGGGATCCTAATATTCTGGATTTACAAATTTCTGGTTTCTCAGCCCAACATATCACTTGCAAAGTTTGTTCTACTGATGGAAGACTGGACTGTTATATCTCTTCAATTTATGGTTTTAATCATATGGATATGAGAAAAGAGCTTTGGTTAGATTTGCACCAGATCCATCAAGTGATTGGTAACCCACCTTGGCTTCTTAGTGGAGATTTTAATGCAATGCTGGGAAATGAAGAAAAATTAGGTGGTGTTATGCTTACAGATGCTGATATCTTGGACTTTAGATCATTCACAGAGAGTTGTCAGCTTTCCCACTTAAAAACATTGGGATGTTTCTACACTTGGAACAATAAACAGGACTCTGCCACTAGAGTCTGGAGCGGATTGGATAGATCCCTTGTTAATGATTCTTGGATCCAGATTTTTAATTCCGGTCATGTTGAATACTTACTCCCAAGTTTCTCAGATCATTCTCCAGGCCTTATATCTATATATGATGTAGAAAACAGAGGTAAAAAGCCATTTAAGTTCTATAAAATGTGGATCAATCATTCCAGTTTCCTTCCTACTGTTTCTTCAGTTTGGCAATCTCACATTGGAGGGTATAAAATGTTCTCTGTAAACTCAAAGCTCAAACTTTTGAAAGGTGCATTACAATCTCACATTGGAGGGTATAAAATGTTCTCTGTAAACTCAAAGCTCAAACTTTTGAAAGGTGCATTAAAGAACCTCAATCAGGTGCACTTCTACAATATATGTGATCAGGTGAATAAAGCTAGGCTGGAGGTGGAGGATATTCAAAAAAAGATACAAAATGATCCCCTTAACCTAGTCCTCATCAGTAAGGAAAAATGCAGTATTTCCTCCTATAACAAAATCCTGAATTGTGAATTGTCCTTCTTCCAACAAAAAGCTAAAATTGCTTGGAGCATACAAGGGGATAGGTCCACCAGCTATTTCCACTCAGTCATCAAATCTAATAGACACCACAATAGAATTATGGTTCTCTATAACAGCTCTGGTGAAAGGATTACTGAGGCTGATAATATTACAAATGAGTTAACTTCTTTTTTCAAGAACCTCATGGGAACTGCAGTTGTAACAACAAAACCTGACATAAACATCATAAAGAATGGATATTGTCTGAATGATGTCCAAGCTAGTTGCTTAGCTGCTCCTGTTTCCAAAGATGAGATAAGAAATGCAGTTTTCTCCTTATCTGACAATAAAAGCCCAGGCCCTGATGGTTTTAGTGTTTCCTTCTACAAGTCTACTTGGCAAATTATTGGAGAGGAGGTTACAAATGCCATTGAAGAATTTTTTAAATCTGGAAAGCTTTTGGGTGCAATAAATGCTACATCAATTACCCTAATACCCAAGGTAAACTGTCCTAAATCTCCTTCAGATTTCAGGCCAATTTCATGTTGTAATTGTATCTACAAGTTCATTTCAAAGATTCTTGCCAGCAGAATCAAACCTATACTTGGTTGTCTCATAAATGAAGCACAGTGTACTTTTGTTAAAGGAAGGCAAATCTCTAACAATACTTTGCTAGCACATGAGCTTGTCAAGAATTATGGTAGGAAGACTATTTCTCCAAGGACTATGCTGAATATTGACATTAAAAAAAGCCTTCGATACTATCAGTTGGAGTTTCTTGGAGGATATGTTAAATGGACTTGGTTTTCCAAAAAAGATGATAACATGGATCATGGCATGTATAACCTCTCCAAGGTACTCTATTTCTCTTAATGGTACACTTTATGGATATTTTAAAGGGGAAAGAGGTCTAAGGCAAGGTGACCCCCTCTCTCCCTACTTGTTTATCCTTGGCATGGAGTATCTTTCAAGGAGCCTTGATAAATTGAAGCATGATAGTTCATACAAGTTTCATCCAAAATGTGGAAAATTAAAAATTACACATTTGATCTTTGCCGATGACTTGTTATTGTTCAGTAGGGGGGACTTGAGCTCTATAAAGTGTCTGCATCAATGTTTATCGAATTTCAGTGTCATCTCTGGTCTTGATGCAAATCAAAGCAAATGTTCAATTTATTTTGGGGGAGTTGATGAATCTGTCAAAGCTTCTATTCAAAATTTCTTGGGGTTTCCTGAAGGTACCTTGCCTATAAGATACTTGGGAGTTCCACTTATATGCAAAAGACTTTCGTATGTTGATTGTTCTCCTCTTATCAATAAAATTTCAAGCCAATTTCAAAACTGGTGGAATCATAGAAAGCTCTCTTATGCGGGTAGATTGCAAATTATTACGAGTGTTATCCTAGGCACGCAAGTATTCTGGACTTCATGCTATGTCTTACCAGTTAAGGTGTTAAAGAGAATTGACGAGCTTTGTAGGAACTTTCTGTGGGGTAGAACAGATCAAGTGCTCAGGCCTCCATTGGTTTCTTGGGACAAAGTTTGCATTGGTAAAATATATGGTGGTTTAGGCATATTTTCTATAATTGCTTGGAACATGGCTGTAGTTCTGAAAACTTTATGGTCCATTCATGAAAACAAAGAGTCTATGTGGATCAAATGGGTGCATGGCAACTATATTAGGAATGGAGATGTGTGGAATGTAGAAAGCAAGAGGAATGATTCCTGGTTATGGAAGCAGCTTCTAAAAACCAGGAACAAAGCCATCTCAGATTGTGGAGGAATTGATAATTTGAAGAGTGTGATCAGCTCCTGTAACAAGAACTCCAAGATACACACTTTGGGCCTGTATAATGCCCTTTCTCCAGTATCTACAAAAGTTCTCTGGCATGATACAGTTTGGGAGAACTGGAATTACCCCAAACACAATTTTATGTTCTGGTTAGCAATCCAAGACAAGCTTCTTACTCAAGACAAACTTCAAAGCAGAGGTATTGTTCCATCTAATTGCTGCAGTCTATGCTCAGGTACTAATTTGAAAAATATAAATCATCTTTTTTTCTCTTGTTCCTTCTCTCAAGAAGTCTGGAATGGGATTACAAATTGGCTTCAATTCAAATGGAGAACCTGTGATTGGAATTTGCTTATAAACTGGTATTGCAATAGATTTAAGGGGAGGGGTTTCAAAAAAAGATTTAAAAGAATGGCTTTGTCCACTTCAGTCTATTGTATTTGGAAAGAAAGAAATGAGAGAATATTCAAGCATAAGTGTAGAGCTTCAGAAGTGCTGATCAAAGAAATTAAGGTGGAGTTGTTAACCATTTCTCTAAACAACTCTAGCCCTCCTGAGCTCAAAGACTGGCTGATTTCATCATAGGGATAGTGTGCTGCAGTTTTCAGGTTTCTGTCTTCAAAATGTAAATAGATATCTCAAATAGAGAGATGTGATGTACATAAACTTTACAATTGGTTTTAATGAATACAAATTTTTCATTGACAAAAAAAAAAAGTTATAGTATAATTACAATATCGATCCATGATGAAAGTTTATAGGAAAAATTTTAAATTGGATCCTAGAAATGTGTGTGGAGAAAGAAGAGTAAAAGTGTGGAGATATGGAAAGTGTGTGATTATTTACAAATAAAAGAAAACTAGAACAAGAGGGGAGGAAGAGAGTGAACAAATAAAAGAAAAAACAAAGAATAAACAATAAGCAGAGATAAAGAAAATAGAAAAAACAAAACCAAGAAGAAAATAATCAAAAAGGGAAAATCAAAACAAGTAAAAGTTGGAGGTAACCAAGTAGAGAAGATGAGAATCTAGAATTAAATCCACTAGATAATTTCATTTAGAATTTATGAACCACTCGATCTCTTCTTATCATATTTATTTTAGATTTATTAATTATAGACTATCAAACCGCTTAAGGTGTGTTATTATTTATAAATAAAATAGATTAACCGCGATTCTTGTGAAAGTGAGTTAGGATTTTCTTTCTTTTTTTTTATAGTTTCTTTCTTTGTTAGAGGACTAGCAAAAGTTTAGTGTGGGGTATTTGATCATCTTATTTTATTATACTTTTATATCATCATTATCTATTTTATTTGAATAAATATATCACTAATAATGTATTTTTATCTTAATGCATTTTTATCATAATAATTTCTTCTGTACTAGTGCAGAGAATGGACAATGAAAGAAAAAGCAATATACATCCTCTTGGCATTGCGTACGCACGATACATTTACTTTTATTTACAATATGTAAGTAGACAATCTTTGACCGTGTTAATAACTCCATCCAATGAACCAACCACAAAATAAAAACTGTATTTAGGAATAGAGTAGTTACCCATAACTATTGAAACCCAAGCCACAGGTTGATGCTGCTGGAAAGCAAGATCTTGAAGAATAATAGTCATACCAAACTTCCATCCTTGCTCCCACCAATGGAAATTATTAACAATAGAAACAGTAGAACCACAGACATAGAAGCCAGTCGCTCACACATGTTGAGCATTTATTTTTCCTGAGTACACGACACACGTCTCTTTATACTTAGATATTAAGCATTTATTTTTCCTAAGAACACGACACACATAATGACATGATATTTTTAGTTGAAATTTCATGGCATATGTGTAATAGTTGTCAGTTAATCCTATCACTTCTTCAATTTCTTTACACGAAACAATAATATTTCAACTTAGTTTTACAATAGCTCATTTTAGAATAACTACGTAATGTTCACCATTTATAAACAATACATTTTGGCTAGGGACATCAAACATTGAGACGAAATATTGTCAAAATAAGTATGATTGAAGATTCCAAGTCTTACTTGTCAGGCTTAATATAAATATCAGACTCTTAATTTAGAGTTTAGCCACGAATCTAGATCGATTACTCTCACACCTCTTATCATCATTTCTTATATTTTCACCATCTAAAGTTTAAATAATACAACCAACTACTCAAATATATGAAATAATGAGAGAAAAGTTCTGTCATATTTTGGTGCACATACTTGGGAAAAGGATGTGTTTTCATTTAATCGATCAAATATGAAGTGATGAAGTGAACTATGTTTATCAATCATTTACGACTGGCCCTTCAATTTATCATCTTACCAAAAACCCTCTCAATGTGGCTAAAATATTAAGATCATTTTAATTATTATTCACAAATAAAGCACGTAATCAGGTTTATCAAATTATTCATGGACAATTTTTTTTCTTTATATTTTCCGCTGTAAATGATGTGGAGGAGGTCGTGGATGAGTCCATAAAGTAGCTGGGTCTAGCTAGGTCTCGAGAAACAAGGCGACCCTCCAATATCATTAGAGATTTTTAGTGTTGATTTTTGCTAAGTAGTAATATCCTATCCAGTAGTAGACGAGATGGACAACCCTTCAAATAAAAGATTAAAACATTCAAGGTGGATTATAATTCGAGAGTCTCTGTAATCCACTATCATGTTTTTTTTTTCTTTACTTGTTATTTTATTAGGTGTTATGACAAATTCCCAAGACAAGTAATCAATCATTTGAAAGCAGGAAAAATATCAAGAAGACAAAAACGAATGGGTACACGTAGTTAGGCATGTAGGCTACATCTACGGGCAAAGGAGAAGAATAACTTTACTAAATTGTGAGAAATATAATGTGACGGTCTCTCAATCATTCAATCCCTAACACACCCCAAAAGTCTAATACAGCTCTTTCAGATAAAAGAACAAAAGAGAGAGAAATATCAAATAGACTTCACAAGAGAATTCTCTATTATTGGTTGATGCTTACTAGATTGATGTTGATAATTGGCTTCTTGGACCCCATTCATATACACGCTTAAATTCCTTGCTACTCAAGTAACAAGAATCTTGCTAGGATTTTAAGCCTGATGTGATTGGAGTTGTGCAGCAACATCAATTCTAATGTAAGTGGGATCCTTAATTAATTAAAACTTTAATTAAATACATGATTATCTTCAAGCCAATGAAATCCATAACCTATTACAAATTGGATGCTTCATAAACAAATTAGTCACTGTAACAAGTTGCGCTTGATCAAGCATGATCGAGCCAAAACCACTGAGTTCGAGTCTATATTTGAGGCATCCATAACAATCTCCACCTTGACTCAAATACATCAAAAATTCCTCATTCTAAATTAGCTAACTTACTTCACATTGTCAAATAGCCCCGCAGAGCATCAAGTGTGTCACATATGGTTTAAGTCCAAGCACTGGTTGAACTTGCCAAGAAAAAGAAGCATCATCAACAAATCAACTGAACTGTCTACATGATGACCACAATATTTAGTGAAACCATCACCTGAAGTAGCTCCTAAATAGCTCAAGGGCGCAAATAGCTCAAGGGCGCAAAATTATCAACTGATAATGCATAAGCTATTGCATCTTTATAGCTTTGTAGTGATCAAATATCGCATCTAGACCAATCTCTAGCAATAGTGTATTCTCGTTCTTCCTACAACAGCAAAGGTTCTTCATCTACTTAAACGAGGTCTGGTTATTAGACTGGACTCCGAGGTCTTACGTTGTTGAAGAGTTAAATCATAAATTTGTAACTCCACCTTTTGTCTTGTAGTGTGCACTTTATTTTCATCAAATGAAGTTGGTGACCATTTTTGGTAGAACATAGCAGACTCATCAAAAGTGACATCGCGGCTAATAATAGTCTTAAGAGACTTTTTGATCAGGACACCACAATCTATAACCCTTAGCATCTATGCATAACCTAGGAATATGCACTTCTTTGCTCAAGGCTCAATTTCCCCTTGATTGACATGTGCATGTAGAACAACTAGATATTCTAATATTAGAATAATCTACAGGCTTACCGACCTCTAGAGTTTTA